ACTTACCTTAGCTCCGATCTGGTTCCACATTGACCAGTTTGCATATGAACGATTTCTCTCATGTTGATGGTTGTGAGAACTGACTAGAGTCTAGAAATGAAGTGTAGTTGAAAGTGGAATGATTTGGTTGAGATTTATCAGTGTTTTATATTAGACAAGGTTTTCAGTTACCATGAAGATTTAAAATTTTTTATCAACAACATCGACTGCAGTTATTGACTAATTCTTTAATCTGAATTGTTAATAAAATCAGTTGGTTAATTTATATTAATGTTAATCTCATTTGAGTAAAATCAATGTCAGGATTACTGCACGTGATTAATGTTCCCAACTGTATCTAACAACAAACAAACAACAAGACAATAGATCTCATATTTCAGGTATAAATTACCAGTTTAAATCACCAACTCTACATTCAGTGGTAACATCTTGCCTTGGTTAGCTTCAACTCTACCTGCAAGATTCCTTGTCAGTTTTAACTTTGTTCAGTTTCAACTTGTATAAACCTTCAATATGGTAAGTATAATCGTTTCGTTTCACTTTTTAACTCCGGGGTAGACTAGTAAAATGTTAAGAAGTATATCTTATTATTCTAAATAACAAAACAATAAAATCCAGGAGTAATATACCAAAGTGTGCTATTGTTTTCCGTTATTAATCTGATCTGCTGTTTATTGAGTATTTTTATCATTATCAAAGAGGTTTTCTAAATTTCTACGTGTAGCGAGGACATGCACAATTGGCACCACTCATATTTTCAGAAATTAAAAAAACATTTCATAAAACCATTAAATTGTAAAGTGATTATAAAAAGAATTTCTAAATTTAATCTTTAAAGGGATTTTATGAAAATGTTTTCTAAATTAGTTTTAAGTTTAAACTTCCATCATCAACGTAACCTGTTGAATATAACTGTACAGAATAGATGTTCATTAATTGCTTACGATAGGGCAGTTTAGTATTTTAATCAACAAGTCAGTCAACACTCAGCCTCTAATGAAGCAATAAGATGTAACCTTCAATGTGGTTCATAAAGTCTGAATGGCGTAAATTTTCTTTTTTTTGTAAAGAAGGAAATTTGTTTTTTGATTTTGAATTGTGAGAAGAATTTTATTTAATGATTAGACGATTCATATTCTTCACAAAAGAAATAAAGAAGTTTCTTTTGTATTTTTACACCATTCAAAGGTTAAAAAAAAATATAACTACTTCGAATTCTGGCAAAAACAATCTCATTAACAGTCCACATATTTATTGAGAGCTTTTTTCACTCATAGTGGAAATAACAAAATGAAATGAATGGAGTTTTACGTCCTACTTTTCTGCACCATGTGGGCTGATAAAGATGCAGGGTACAATGAGGGAAATTTTGCCAGGACAGCGGCATTAGCCTGCTCTTTTTCGTTTTCCAACTGTCGAGGGATCTTTAACGTGCATAACATGTAGCACATTGGGCCTCGGTTTATTGTGTCATCCGAACGACTAGACTTTTTCCATGTAAGCCCCTCTTACCCGCCAAACTCACTGAGCCACTGCGGCTCCCGTACACATTATGAGCAAATGCAGAATCAGATTAAGGAGACTATATCACTATTCTTCTTACTGAAATATTTCCCAAATAATATTCTTCACTTTCAGCGTGAGTGTATCTCTATCCACATTGGTCAAGCCGGTGTCCAGATGGGCAATGCCTGTTGGGAGTTGTACTGTTTAGAACATGGTATCCAACCTGATGGTCAGATGCCTTCTGATAAAACTATATGAGGTGGTGATGATTCCTTCAACACTTTCTTCAGTGAGACTGGCGCTGGTAAACATGTTCCAAGAGCTGTATTTGTTGATCTGGAACCGACAGTTGTGGATGAAGTCCGAACTGGTACTTACCGTCAACTCTTCCATCCTGAACAAAGAGGACGCTGCCAACAACTATGCCCGAGGTCACTACACAGTGGGAAAAGAACTGATAGACTTGATTCTCGATAGAACAAGGAAGCTGGCTGATCAATGTACTGGTCTACAAGGTTTCCTCATCTTCCACAGCTTTGGTGGAGGAACCGGATCTGGTTTCTCTTCCTTGTTAATGGAAAGATTGAGCGTCGATTACGGCAAAAAATCCAAGCTGGAGTTTGCTGTTTATCCTGCTCCACAAATTTCAACTGCTGTAGTAGAACCATACAACTCCATCCTTACAACCCATACTACACTGGAACATTCTGATTGTGCTTTCATGGTGGACAACGAGGCTATCTACGACATCTGCCGAAGAAACCTAGACATTGAAAGACCAACCTACACCAACCTAAACAGACTGATTGGTCAAATCGTCAGCTCCATTACTGCTTCGCTCCGATTTGATGGTGCATTGAACGTCGATCTTACTGAGTTCCAGACCAACGTGGTTCCATACCCACGCATCCATTTCCCATTGGCTACCTATGCTCCAGTCATATCTGCTGAGAAAGCCTACCATGAACAACTTTCTGTTGCTGAAATCACCAATGCTTGTTTCGAGCCAGCCAATCAGATGGTCAAATGTGATCCTCGTCATGGTAAATACATGGCTTGCTGTATGTTGTACCGAGGTGATGTTGTTCCCAAGGATGTCAACGCTGCTATTGCAACCATTAAAACCAAGAGAACAATCCAATTTGTTGACTGGTGCCCAACTGGTTTCAAAGTCGGTATCAACTACCAACCACCAACAGTTGTACCAGGAGGTGACTTAGCCAAGGTCCAGAGAGCTGTTTGTATGTTGAGTAACACAACTGCTATTGCTGAAGCCTGGGCTCGTCTTGATCATAAATTTGATCTGATGTATGCCAAGAGAGCTTTTGTTCATTGGTATGTTGGTGAAGGTATGGAAGAAGGTGAATTCTCTGAAGCTAGAGAAGATTTAGCTGCTCTGGAGAAAGATTATGAAGAAGTTGGAGTTCATTCTGTTGAAGGTGAAGGAGAAGAAGAGGGAGAAGAATATTAAACTAAATTAAAATATGATTTCTGAATAAATTATTTAAATCAAATATCAATCAAATATTATTATCATTAACCTCAAAGTACAAAGATTTTCATATCGATTTAATTTATATAAATCTATCAATTAGAAGTATTAAAACATTTTTTATATATTTTTTTATATCATCCTTCAATATGCGGTGTCCTTTGCGTTGTAACTAGACTTGGGAGGTTCTAAAGAGTTCACAATTTTAAATAAAAGTTATTTCCCTTTGCTATCCCAGAAATTGACAAATTGTTAGTTCTGCTGATTCGAACGGCGGCATTTCTTTTTCATCTACATCCAGAAAAGTTCTATTATTCGTTTCATCGATTTTGCATTAACCACACTGTCCCCCACATAATCTCGTTATCACGTGACAAGCTCCTATTCCTCCGATATCATTTTAGTTCAAAATTTATATAAGAAATTGACAAAGTGGTAGTTCTGCTGAATCGAACGGAGGCATGTCGTTCTTATCTATCTCCAGAAGAGTTCCACTTCCGACAGTTTGATCAATTTCGCATCCACCACAATCTCCTCCACAGAATCCTGTTATCACGTGATCACCCATAGTCCGGGTTATATTTCCAATCACTGCTGATGTTCCCACGATTTTCCACGTCAGAGAGTCTGGAAACTTTAAGCCCGTCCCTCGGGAGTCGATAACAAATTTTCCTAGAACACCACAGCCATTATCTTTAGTGAAGCAGTCTTGGGCAGTACCATAATTCTGGGATTTGAGAGAACTATTTGAGTAAAAATATTCATCAACAACGATTTTATTTCTATTTTTTATCTTCAGTTTTATTTTGTGAAATTCTGACGTTCCAGCTCCCTTGGTCTCTGGGTTATCTAATGGACTCGTTACGCAGTCTGTTCCTGTTCTCTTGTATTCCGAGAAGGACGCCATGTTCGGATGTTGAAGACTGACGTATCCACCATAACCCCATTTACAGAACACCTTTATTCGAGTTTGGTCAGCGGGGAAATACAGCCAATAATCCTTTTCTTCCATACTTTCATTACAGTTTCTAATTTCACCACATCTAGAATACGGTAAACAGACAAACTCACTCCACGTTCCATCTTCGGTACAAACTGGGTTGATTGACGGGAAATATCCAGGTTCACAAACATACTCCACCATTTCATTGACTCCCCACAAAGGTTTAGCTTCAAACGATGACGAGTTGATATTATTTACACCGGGAAAACCCACACACCCGATAACTTCACAATTATAGGAATCTTGTAATTCACGACATACAGTGTTATTCAGACAATTATGGTTTTTACACGCACCCAGATATGATTCTCTCCAATTTTCCATGTCTATTAAAATATTGTCAAATTCAAAAATCGTGTTGGACCAAGTTGGTGTTTCACTCATTAGTTGACACTGAAAACTGAGACGGTTAAAGTTGACAGCTCTACACAGTGAATGTAATTTGCAATATTTGCAACATGTCAAAATTTCTGTGTCAAAGGTTAAAATTGGTACGCCCATTAGTTTTGTGATTGCTGTCATATTTTGTAGCAGTTCCTTTTTAAAGCATTTATATGCGTCACTTCCGTTACTTTTTAGAAGAAAACATAGCACTATGGATTGAAATATTACTGGCGATTTCATCTTAACTTTCATCAGGCGAAATTCACGAAATCAAATCAAATGTTTGTTTTTGAGGACCAGATCTGAGGACTGAAATGGCCTAGTTGTCTGAAGATATCTTCTTGTCACACTAGATACACGATAGACTGGGAGTTGACACGGGTTTAAATTAACAATGTTGCTGCACTCCCCCAAGACAAGAACACAGGCTGAAATAGTCCAACTGCTTGAAGATCTCAACATATCAATCTTCAATAAGTAAGAACACAGTCGGAACTAGAGAAGTTTTCAGAAGAACACATCTTATCAAACTTTTGTTAGGAAACCCACTGAAATAAGTTTGAAGATCACATAATATATAGTTTGTAATGAAAGCTAACGGTTGGTTCTTGCCTCGGTCACGTGATTTACCAAGCTATCTATTCATCTAGTTATTTAAAATTGAAATAGATCTCAATTTTATCTATCATGTATCTAGACAAAGTCTAATCAAATATTTAGATGACGACATGCCTTAAAGGGATGGATTTCTAGTTATATTTATTGATTGTGTATTGTGTTTCTTTGTTGATTTTTCTTTCTAACTTTAAGGCTTGTGTCTGTTTGAAAATTAAATAACAAAATAAAACTTAAAGGGATTTTCTTTATCTAATAATAAAACTATAAGCAACAAGTCAAATTAATTTGTTAACAAGTCCGCG